TCCGAGCCCTCTGACATCTTAAGACCATATAGTTTCTGCTTAAGATAGAGCTTGTTCGTCAACGACTTGGACATNCCCTCTCTCCAATCGTATCTCTCTAATTTATTCCCGCCAAACAAATGATGGATATTTGACTTATGGATATTTTGAGGTTTCGTTTTAAGAAAACATTTTTTTTTGGTCAGGTTTTTAATAAAATATACGGGCAAAAAGACCTCTCTATTATCTATAGGATATGTTTGAATGACCGAGTTAAAGTGGATTGAAAATCTTAAAAAAATATATTTTTTTATCCAATTCAAATCCACCTAGTTGTCGTTCAAATAGGATATAAATTACTCGGTTGGATAGATTATAGTATTTTTGTGAAACCCACAAATAAGGGTGATGTAATTTACTATCATTGACAATTGTGTCTCTATCCTATCTAATCAACTACCATATTTGGTTTATAAATTAGTCTTAAATCTATTCTAAACAAAAAAAAAAAAATTACATGTTTATATCTATTTTTTTTACAACTCTAGTAATAGACAAAATATGTGTTCATATGTTAGTAACACAAAACAACCGATTTCATAGCGCTTGGGGAACTCAAGTTTGATTGAGGATTGAAGAGGATAGGGGGAAGAAAAGGCTTGGGATAGCTTTAGGAGTCTTTGTGAGAGCCGTATGTGATGAGAGTCGCACGTGCAATAACGAGGGGGATTTGCGTCTATGCGTGTAGTGTGGTGGTTGGGCCTACCCACCCTATTTGTTCCATGATCAATGAGTCTATTGGAGCTACCCACTTCGATCAATTAGCCAAGATTTTGATCGGATACGAAATCACTGGTGCTCGATGTNTGATGGATATGGATATTTTGAGGTTTCCTTTTAAGAAAACATTTTTTTTGGTTAGGTTTTTAATAAAATATACGGGCAAAAAGACCTCTCTATTATCTATAGGATATGTTTGAATGACCGAGTTAAAGTGGATTGAAAATCTTAAAAAAATATATTTTTTTATCCAATTCAAATCCACCTAGTTGTCGTTCAAATAGGATATAAATTACTCGGTTGGATAGATTATAGTATTTTTGTGAAACCCACAAATAAGGGTGATGTAATTTACTATCATTGACAATTGTGTCTCTATCCTATCTAATCAACTACCATATTTGGTTTATAAATTAGTCTTAAATCTATTCTAAACAACAAAAAAAAAAAATTACACGTTTACATCTATTTTTTTTTACAACTCTAGTAATAGACAAGATATGTGTTCATATGTTAGTAGCACAAAACAACCGATTTCATAGCGCTTGGGGAACTCAAGTTTGATTGAGGATTGGAGAGGATAGGGGGAAGAAAAGGCTTGGGATAGCTTTAGGAGTCTTTGTGAGAGCCGTATGTGATGAGAGTCGCACGTGCAATAACGAGGGGGATTTGCGTCTATGCGTGTAGTGTGGTGGTTGGGCCTACCCACCCTATTTGTTCCATGATCAATGAGTCTATTGGAGCTACCCATTTCGATCAATTAGCCAAGATTTTGATCGGATACGAAATCACTGGTGCTCGATGTATAATAAAAAAAATAAGTTCATTCATATGACTATATTAAAAAAATACACTTCATCAACCATCAGATGTTAAAAAAAACAACCAAGTATCATTCATTATCCAATAATACAATAACCAAATAACCAAGTATCATAATTGGTGTAAGTCTTCTATATATAGTCAATTTCTAGTCAATGATCTTGTTAGTCTTTGTTTCTTTTGCATCTCAATGTGAGAATAAGGATCAAAATCAAAAACATAAAATTGATCAACTCCTTTCTTGTTCTATCTAACACAACTACTAACCCATCAATCAGATAAACACGATTTGACATTGTCTATGCNACAAAAAAAAAAAATTACACGTTTACATCTATTTTTTTTTACAACTCTAGTAATAGACAAGATATGTGTTCATATGTTAGTAGCACAAAACAACCGATTTCATAGCGCTTGGGGAACTCAAGTTTGATTGAGGATTGGAGAGGATAGGGGGAAGAAAAGGCTTGGGATGGCTTTAGGAGTCTTTGTGAGAGCCGTATGTGATGAGAGTCGCACGTGCAATAACGAGGGAGATTTGCGTCTATGCGTGTAGTGTGGTGGTTGGGCCTACCCACCCTATTTGTTCCATGATCAATGAGTCTATTGGAGCTACCCATTTCGATCAATTAGCCAAGATTTTGATCGGATACGAAATCACTGGTGCTCGATGTATAATAAAAAAAATAAGTTCATTCATATGACTATATTAAAAAAATACACTTCATCAACCATCAGATGTTAAAAAAAACAACCAAGTATCATTCATTATCCAATAATACAATAACCAAATAACCAAGTATCATAATTGGTGTAAGTCTTCTATATATAGTCAATTTCTAGTCAATGATCTTGTTAGTCTTTGTTTCTTTTGCATCTCAATGTGAGAATAAGGATCAAAATCAAAAACATAAAATTGATCAACTCCTTTCTTGTTCTATCTAACACAACTACTAACCCATCAATCAGATAAACACGATTTGACATTGTCTATGCAAGAGTCGTCATGAATTTATAATATAAAATAGAACAGACTTCAATAAGTCCATTCGACTGTTTCAAATAAACTTATTTAACGGTAACCAATATCTCTCTCAAAATCATTCACATCGTATCGTGTCTTCAGAAACGGGTTATCCCTAGTTTATAATATAAAACATGGTAAACTTCAATAAGTCAATCTGACGGTCTCAAATAAACTCATTCAACGGCTACCGACATTCCTCTCAAAATCATTCATATTGTACATTACCTTCACACACGGGTTACCCTTACTACCAAGGAATCACACNATTTCGATCAATTAGCCAAGATTTTGATCGGATACGAAATCACTGGTGCTCGATGCATAATAAAAAAAATAAGTTCATTCATATGACTATATTAAAAAAATACACTTCATCAACCATCAGATGTTAAAAAAAAACAACCAAGTATCATTCATTATCCAATAACACAATAACCAAATAACCAAGTATCATAATTGGTGTAAGTCTTCTATATATAGTCAATTTCTAGTCAATGATCTTGCTAGTCTTTGTTTCTTTTGCATCTCAATTTCTCACATTATAACAATAAGGATCAAAATCAAAAACATAAAATTGATCAACTCCTTTCTTGTTCTATCTAACACAACTACTAACCCATCAATCAGATAAACACGATTTGACATTGTCTATGCAAGAGTCGTCATGAATTTATAATATAAAATAGAACAGACTTCAATAAGTCTATCCGACTGTCTCAAATAAACTTATTTAACGGTAACCAATATCTCTCTCAAAATCATTCACATCGTATCGTGTCTTCAGGAACGGGTTATCCCTAGTCTATAATATAAAACATGGTAAACTTCAATAAGTCAATCTGACGGTCTCAAATAAACTCATTCAACGGCTACCGACATTCCTCTCAAAATCATTCATATTGTACATTACCTTCACACACGGGTTACCCTTACTACCAAGGAATCACACAATAACAAGACTAAAAAATTGTAAATATTATTTAGGTTGCATGTTGTTCAAATTTGGGTGTGTTTACAACTAGAGATTGTTCATGGTTTCATGAGAAAGCATTAATATAAGACATTCAAGTAACTTTATTTACCTTTGATCAAAAAAAAAAAAAAACTTTATTTACAATAACAAAAACTAAAAGAAAACTATAAAATAAATAAATATGCAACACAAATCAAATGACAATTCAGTCCAGAAACATAGCACTTCCCCATTCCTTGACAAATTTTCTATTAGATTATTTTCTAAGTGTGTAAATTAACTTCATTGATACTTATTGAAATGTTCAAGATTATTTTCTAAATGGTTAAATTACAAATTAGTTTTTATATTTGGAAAAAAAATGTTATTTCTAATTGCAATATAAGTTAGACGGTGATTTTTTTTTAACTTTCAGATCGTTCTCATGTTTTGGTTAAATCACATTGGATCTTTTTCAGTGCCATTTTTATGACCAAGCACCACACAGGTTACAAAGCTTATGGGAGGACTAGTTCAAAAATTAAAACAAAAAAATATGAAAGTTCATGATTAAAGTACATATGTATCTATAGTACTCTCATGAGTTCAAAAACAAAAAAATGTCAGACATTCTTTTTTTTTTTTTTTATTCATTGACGCCAAAAATAAAAAGATATTGTGGTTCGTGTGCTACAAATAAAAGAACCCAATTTCTACGAGAGAAAGAGAGAGATGACGAACTTACCTGATGACGAGAAGCAACAACTGATTAAGTGAAGGAGGAGAGATAAAGCAACGACATGGAGAAGTGATGAAGATGAAGATATATGACCTAATATGGATAGCACAACTGGGTGACTCCTGGTAAAAAAATCTCAGCCTCCCCCCCCCCCCCCCCCCCCCCCCCNTACGCTCCACCACTATAATTAGAGCATTTCAGGTTTTACAATAAAATTATGTGTTTGCACCGGTAAAAGTATGCATGAGGCGCAAAGTTTTTTTTTTGGCCCCAAACACAAAATGACGAATATTGCCCGTTTATAGCGTCCGACCCGACCAGGAGAGAACAGACGCTCAAACAAACCCTGGGAAGGAGAACACCAAATGGACGAAAAGAAGGTTGTCGCTCAATGAAAATGCACCTGACATCCATTCAAGAAATCTACTTGCAAACTTGGCTTTTAACAACAAAAAAAGTGTCTAGTTGCTTCCCGAAACAATTAGTCTTGGAAGTCTTACCATCTCAAAATTGCCAAAAGTGTGAGAAGAAAAGAAGGCTTTCCATCATGTATACCCGGATAATACATCATTTGAGCCATACTCGACATATAACTACCAAAATTCCAGCCTTTACCTATCAAATTTAAGTCTCTCACAGGTAATATCAGTCATTCACAACCATGACACCCATATCAGAAGTACTCTCCAGCTTCTTGATGATCAATCTCTTATGGGGAGGTCGGTCATTGGCCGATACATCAGCATCAATGATGACCGAGTCTTCCTCCTTGAAATCTCCGCGTAAGAGTCTCGTTGCAAGTTCATTCTCAACCAACTGTTCTTCACAGGCCTTGCTCCAAAGTTAGGATCAAAGCCCAGAGTTGCTAAGAGATCAACAGCTGCTTCTGTGTAGTGAAGATCAATCTTCTTTTGTTTGAGCCTCTCCTTCACACGATCCATCTGCAATGAAGATAAAATGTTAAGGGTTACACAAAATTCCATCATTGTCATTAGTGGACGAGGATAATATAGGTTATAGATAAGCACCAAGACTTTTGACATTGAGAATTGTTGTAATCGTGCAGTAATTATGGTGAATAGTAAAGAATCAAACAATTAAGAAAACAGGAGAAATAACACACAGAGATTTACGTGGTTCGGCAATGTGCTTACATCCACGAGAGTGAGCGGCCGTTCTTTTTCCTTATTCAAAGTAGGGTTACATCTTAAGTATTTATATAACCATAATACGGACATATATACAAAAATACCCCTGTATCGTACCGCGGGGGCGTTGCCCCCACACCCCCAACTAATCAGCGTCCCCTTTATACAAATCCCGCAAGGCAAATGCCGTCGCAGGCTCAACTCCGTTACGCTTCCGCATCTGCCTCCTTGCCATTATGCACACAACAAATATGAGCCACACATACTCTAACAATCTCCACCTTGGCAAATATTCACCCCCTTAGGAGAAAAAAAGAACATGTATTCAGGATCTCCACCAAGGATGCTGAGTTGAGGCATCTCCCATCTAGCAACTAAAAACATTAATTAAGTCCAAGCAGTGCTTGAACTTGTCTGTAGTAACATGTTTTGTCAACATGTCTGCTGCATTCTCAGAAAGTGTGAACTTTCTCAAGTAATAGTTCACCAGAAGAAACCAGTTCCCTGATCTTATGAAACCTCACATCTATATGTTTGGTCCTCGCATGATACACCTGGTTCTTTGCCAAATAAATGACACTCTGACTGTCACAATGCAATTGAACTCCACCTTGCTGGGCACCCAGCTCCTTGACTAAACCTGTAAGCCACAAAGCCTCTTTGGCAGCCTCAACTACTGCCATATACTCTGACTCAGTAGTAGATAGTGCAACTATAGACTATACCATGAACTTCCAACAAATAGNAAAACTTCTTCACCATGCCCTGCTGCACTAACAGGTACTTCACCCTCCTCTGCCATAATTCGAAATTCCCAGTTCCGTCGAACTTCATGATGTCGAATTTTGTAGAGGAAATCCCAGACATCGTAGTCTAGCTCTGATACCAATTGTTGTGATCGTGCAGCAATTATGGTGAATAGTAAGGAATCAAACAATTAAGAAAGCAGGAGAAAATAACACACAGAGATTTACGTGGTTCGGCAATGTGCCTACATCCACGAGAGCGAGCGGCTGTTCTTTTCCTTATTGAAGTAGGGTTACATCTTAAGTATTTATATAACCCTAATATGGACGTATTTACAAAAATACCCCTGTACCGTACCGCGGGGGCGTTGCCCCCACACCCCCAACTAATCAGCGTCCCCTTTATACAAATCCCGCTCCGGCATCTGCCTCCTTGCCATTATGCACACAGCAAATATGAGCCACACATACTCTAACAATCTCCACCTTGGCAAATATTCACCCCTTAAAAAAAAAAAAAAAGAGGACATGTATTCGGGAACTCCACCGGGGACGCTGAGTTGAGGCATCTCCCATCTAGCAACTAGAGACATTAATCAAGTCCAAGCAGTGCTTGAACTTGTCTGTAGTAACAGGCTTTGTCAACATGTCTGCTGCATTCTCAGAAGTGTGAACTTTCTCAAGTAATAGTTCACCAGAAGAAACCAGTTCCCTGATCTTATGAAACCTCACATCTATATGTTTGGTCCTCGCATGATACACCTGGTTCTTTGCCAAATAAATGGCACTCTGACTGTCACAATGCAATTGAACTCCACCTTGCTGGGCACCCAGCTCCTTGACTAAACCTGTAAGCCACAAAGCCTCTTTGGCAGCCTCAGCTACTGCCATATACTCTGACTCAGTAGTAGATAGTGCAACTATAGGTTATACCATGAACTTCCAACAAATAGGTCCTCCCACAAGAGTAACCACATAACCTGTGGTAGACCTCCTGTCATCCAAGTCCCCTGCATAGTCTGCATCCACATATCCCATAACTGAAGGGTCACTCTGTNACAATTAAGAAAGCAAGAGAAAATAACACACAAAAATTTACGTGGTTCGACAATGTGCCTACATCCACGAGAGCGAGCGGCCGTTCTATTTCATTATTAAAAGTAGGGTTACATCTTAAGTATTTATATAACTCTAATACGGACGTATTTACAAAAATATACCTGTACCGTACCGCGGGAGCGTTGCCCCCACACCCCCAACTAATCAGCATTCCCTTTATATAAATCCCACAAGGCAGATGCCGTCACGGGCTCCGNCATATCGCAGGGGCGTTGCTCCCGCACCCTCAACTAATCAACGTCCCCTTTATACAAATCCCGCAAAGCAGATGCCGTCGCAGGGCTCCACTTCACTCGACTCCGCCCCCCTCCCGCATTTGCCTCCTTGCCATTGTGCACACAACAAATATAAGCCACACGTACTCTAAATAGCATGAAAATACAACTGATACCACCTTTAAAGAGTTCTATTTTTTATTTTTCGCGCTACAAGCAAAGAACTCCCTACCCCCACATCATGGTTTTTGTTTTTGGTGGGGAGGGGTTGTGTGGCGGGGAGGTACAACATTTACTCCAATTCTTGCCTAAGTTTTGCAGCCCATAGATAGCGCAATCGTGAAGCTTAATTACACTATATTCTTCCCCAAGTTTAGTAACAAGGATTCACTAAAACACTAAAAAAATTACACAAAAGGATATCTTCAAGAAATCAGCTCTCCTGTTTGTCTAGCCTTGAAATTTTTCCACCCTTCCAAATTTATATTTTATTTGATATCCTTTTCCTAGGACTATCTATCATCTCCATCAACCTTGCAAAGCAAACANGAGAATTGTTGTGATCGTGCAGCAATTATGGTGAATAGTAAAGAATCAAACAATTAAGAAAACAGGAGAAAATAATACACAGAGATTTATGTGGTTCGACAATGTGCTTATATCCACGAGAGTGAGCGGCCGTTCTTTTTCCTTATTCAAAATAGGGTTATATCTTAAGTATTTATATAACCCTAATACGGACATATTTACAAAAATACCCCTGTACCGTACCGCGGGTGCGTTGCCCCCGCACCCCCAACTAATCAACGTCCCCTTTATACAAATCCCGCAAGGCAAATGCCGTCACGGGCTCCACTCCATTACGTTCCCGCATCTACCTCCTTGCTATTATGCAGACAACAATATATGAGCCACACATACTCTAACAATCTCCACCTTGGCAAATATTCACTCCTTAGGNCATCTCCATCAACCTTGCAAAGCAAACAGTGAATACAAAGTAGAAATTTTAGACACCTACATTAGTGTTTGGGACTGGAACACTTTCTTTACAACACCCAAATATTTCAGCTTGAAACTTAAAAAATGATTGTATATTTCTTCTTGCTGCATTTATAGGTTACGAGGAAAAGGTGCGCACTAACCTCTCTATCAAATCTGAATTCAAGCTGTCTGATTTCTATAGATTTTGGCACCAATGTCATGAACGTGTCAAAAAATAATATTGTACTTTGGGTATCAAAGACATCTAAGAGACAAATAGCTCTGAAGGTCATACACCTCAGCAATTGCAGTTTTCCCCACGCCTGGTTCACCAATAATAATTAATAACTGTAATATTCCGTTCCATTTTGGCAAGGAACTAATTAGGAAATATTATCTTGGAAGGAATAAGAAAAATTTTAAAGAAAAATCTAGAATGTTGGAANGGACATGTATTCGGGAACTCCACCAAGGACGCTGAGTAGAGGCATCTCCAATCTAGCAAACTAAAGACATTAATCAAGTCCAAGCAGTGCTTGAACTTATCTGTAGTAACAGGCTTTGTCAACATGTCTGCTGCATTCTCAGAAAAGTGTGAACTTTCTCAAGTAATAGTTCACCAGAAGAAANAATTTAGCATATTTTAAAAGGTTTTAAGAAATATTAGAAGGTTCTAGAAGGATTTAGAATATTTTGGAAAATTTCGGAAGGAAATAGAAGGTTGGAAAAGACTTTAGGATATCATAGAAGAATTTAGATGCTTGTTGAATTGCCATGTGCAAAATAAGCTTGAAACCTAGAAGGATCTAGGAAGGGGGAGATGGTAGAATATTCTAAGGAATTCTCCCCTAAAAATTTCACATGTTAATATTCTCTACAATAATCCTAGAATGCCTATAAATAGGGCATTTGGGGATTGGATTAAGGATACAAGGGTACAAGTAGTCTTCCACTTTCAAGAAAGTATAGAGAGTAAAAGAGAGAAGAAGGAAGGAAGAACATCTCATTAAAGGAGAAAGGAAATCGTGAGAGAAAGAGGAAAGNAGCTTGAAGCCTTTCACTCCTTTCTGATATCCCAGAAAGATACACTGTCTAGACTTCGCATCAAGCTTCGACCTCTCCTCACTAGAAACATGTACATAGGCTGGACATCCAAACACTCTCAAACCAGAGTAGTCTACCTCACTGCCTGTCCACACCTCCTCTGATACTTTCCCATCTAGTGCTGCCCTCGGTGATCTGTTAATCAAGAAACATGCTATATTCATTGTCTCTGCCCAGAAATTCTTTGCAAGCCCTGCATTCAACCTGAGACACCGAGCTTTCTCGGCTATCNCAGCAATTATGGTAAATAGTAAACAATTAAAAAAGCAAGAGAAAATAACACACAAAGATTTACGTGGTTCGACAATGTGTCTACATCCACGAGAGCGAGCGGCCGTTCTATTTCATTATTAAAAGTAGNCTTTCTGTTCATCCTTTCCGGTACACCATTTTGTTGTGGTGTCTTGTGGACTATGAAGTGTCTCTTGATCCCTTGCTGCTCACACAACTCCTGGAACTTTGAATCTGTGTACTCAGTACCATTATTTGACCTGAGTCATTTAATCTTCCTCCCTATCTGGTTCTCTACTTCAGCTTTTCACAGCTTGAACTTAGCAAACGCTTCAGACTTGTGCCGCATGAAGTACACCCAAACCTTTCGTGAGTAATCATCAATGAAACTCACGAAATACATGTATCCTCCCCGTGATACTACACTAACTGGTCCCCAAACATCTGTATGGACATAGTCGAGAACCCCCTCTGTCTTGTGTGTGGCTATCTTGAACTGCACCCTATTCTGTTTTCCAAGAACACAATATTTGCAAAAATTGAGCTTGCATGTCTTGACACCCTTCAATAGATTTTTCTTATGAAACTCTATCATCCCCACGCTCACTCATATGACCCAGCTGCATATGCCACAAGACTGTATTACCTGATTCAGACTCTACAGCAGCAACTCTACCTACAATTGTAGTACCCANTCGATTAGGAAGCATTGAGTTGATGGCAATCTTGCTCGAAGACCGTAGTTTTTTGATGAATTGTGTAGAGGATGTTGAAATCCAATACAATTACTGTTGGAACAAAAAATACTGGGCTTCGCAAGCCTTTTGAGAAAAAAATGATGGGCTATGTGCAATTGGAACCTCTAATCAATAATCCAAATTTTGTTTCGTTGTATTATTTTGGTCACCTAGAAATGAAAACGTTTTGAAAACATAGTAGAAACAAATAAAAAATTAGGTATTAATTTCCAAAATGTTCTGAGACATTGGTCAAAATATCTTAAAACACCTCAAAACATTTTGAAACGCCTAGAAACATTTCGAAACACCTCGACTGATTCGGAAATGCCTCAAAGTATTGAAATTTCGATTAAATAACTTAATTCATTTCGGTTTCGACTTATTCCGAAATGCCTCAAAGTATTAAAATTTCGATTCAATAACTTAATTCATTTATGTCTACTTCGAAATGAAGACATTTCAGCCGTGCCCACTGTTTCAAAACAAAAATTTGATCCTTGCCACTAATGCAGTTGATGGAAGAACAAGAAGAATAAGAAGGAATAGTGCTAGTCTTGTTGAGTCTATCTTACATAATAGACTTCTAACCNCTTGATGACCTTCACCGGATCGTCTTAGGAAACAGTTCCCGGGTGGCAACCCGTAGTGACCCTAAAAATGATGTTGGATCCAACCTTGAGATATATTCTAACATTTGGTTAAAAGTTCAGAAAAATTATTTCTCTGTGTGCGGGTGACCCTAGCCACTAGGGAACAGACCCAGGGGAGGCTGAGGTGACCCTAGTGCTCAACAGTTGCAGGAATAGTTTTTGGTGCGTCCTGGTGACCTTCACCAGATTGTCTTAGGGAACAGTTCTCGGGCGACAACCCGTGGTGACCCTAAGTATGGTGTTGGATCCAACCTTGAAATTTTCTGGCATTTTGTATGGTTCCCTGATATCGTACAAGTTCTTATCAATATGAGATGAAGATATAATTTGTTATTGTCACAATGTTTTTATTGGCTTTATTTATGATTATCTATCGTATGTCATATGTATTTTCTTGTTATCAGTTATTGTATTTGGTATTTGGTTCCCATCAATTATTGGATATCGTATAGTCTCCACCATTATGATATGATTCACAATTGTGGTATGATTTTTTGTTGGAATTCGATTGTATTATTCTTGAGAAATTGGTTATCTTGATGAAGTTATTTTTCTAAATCTTTGATTTACATGTTGTATGTCAAATACGTTTTTCAGTCACTTTGAATATACATGCATTTCCATTCACTGGGATTTTTAGCTCAAGTTTTTAAAATAATATTTTTTCAGGTAAACGATTGGAGTGTCAATAGCGGACTCAGGGAATTGATTGGAGACTAATAGTGTTGTGACCTCTGTAACATATATCATATAGCCATCTTTACTTGTTTGGATAATTAGAGTAAACAGGTTTATGTATATTAACTTTGACATATTGACATGAGATCAATTTAGTGTTAATGTTGTTTTCAACTCCTATATTATTAGTTTATTGTTAGGCTTACATGTTTCATAAGTTATGGATCTATGGTTCACGGCCGATCATGCCCTTGGAGTTGGGGTGCGACAATAACAGAGTTGCTCTTTGCCCTCTGGGACAATATCTGGATGCACCGACAGATTTCATCATCTCGGCCAATAACAGGATCAAGTTTACCACACCTAGTGAGTTCTGTCAAGTCATTTCCGTACTTCTCAAGTGCCTGATATTTACCTTTAGGATCTGTTAAAAAATAAGCACAGCATGTATCAATAGGCAACGAACTCTGGGTTGGAGAAAGAGGAGGCAAGGTCCAATGTAGTGAAATATAAAGGAAGAAATGTACAAATACANATGATCTGATTGAACACGTTGATGTGTTGGGTCAAATCCGAGCCCTCTGACATCTTAAGACCATATAGTTTCTGCTTAAGATAGAGCTTGTTCGTCAACGACTTGGACATATACCGACTTTCTAGTTTCAACCAAACTTTCGCCGGTGATTCCTCATCCATGACGTGATACATCACTTCATCAGCCAGACAAAGCCTAATAGTCGCTACAGCCTTTGCTTCCAATTCTTTCCAATTCATGTCATCCATTCCTGCCGGTTATTTTCCGTATAACGCCTTCACCATGCCCTGCTGCACTAACAGGTACTTCACCCTCCTCTGCCATAATTCGAAATTTCCAGTTCCGTCGAACTTCATGATGTCGAATTTTGTAGAGGAAATCCCAGACATCGTAGTCTAGCTCTGATACCAGTTGTTGTGATCGTGTNCCCACGCCTGGTTCACCAATAATAATTAATAACTGTAATATTCCGTTCCATTTTGGCAAGGAACTAATTAGGGAATATTATCTTGGAAGGAATAAGAAAAATTTTAAAGAAAAATCTAGAATGTTGGAAAAATTTCTAGAAAGTTCTAGAGAAGTTTAGCATATTTTAAAAGGTTTTAAGAAATATTAGAAGGTTCTAGAAGGATTTATAATATTTCGGAAGAAAATAGAAGGTTGAAAAAGACTTTAGGATATCATAGAAGAATTTAGATGCTTGTTGAATTGCCATGTGCAAAATAAGCTTGAAACCTAAAAGGATCTAGGAAGGGGGAGATGGTAGAATATTCTAAGGAATTCTCCCCTAAAAATTTCACATGTTAATATTCTCTACAATAATCCTAGAATGCCTATAAATAGGGCATTTGGGGATTGGATTAAGGATACAAGGGTACAAGTAGTCTTCCACTTTCAAGAAAGTATAGAGAGTAAAAGAGAGAAGAAGGAAGGAAGAACATCTCATTAAAGGAGAAAGGAAATCGTGAGAGAAAGAGGAAAGGCATTGATAACATTTCATTCTACTTCGGGTAATAAGCAACACTCAAGAAGCATATCATTTGGACTTAAGGTGAGTGGTTTGTCATACTACATATTTTTCTTGTATCCCTAACATTTTAAAAACGATACATAATGCTTGTTCATTGCTGCATTTACAAAATGTTTTACTAAGTGTCTAAATACTTGCGGCATACAATTTTGATTACTTTGATGAATTATTTTGTGAAGTATTGTGACTCAATCATTTATTTGTATGGTGAGACTTTGTGATAGTGAATGGGACCATGATTGAAAGTTTAGAGAAATTATTCCTCTATGTGCGGGTGACTCTGGCCACTAGGGAATAGACCCAGGGGAGGCTGAGGTGACCCTAATGCTCAACGGTTGAAGGAACAGTTCCTGGTGCTTCTTGATGACCTTCACCGGATCGTCTTAGGAAACAGTTCCCGGGTGGCAACCCGTAGTGACCCTAAAAACGATGTTGGATCCAACCTTGAGATATATTCTAACATTTGGTTAAAAGTTCAGAAAAATTATTTCTCTGTGTGCGGGTGACCCTAGCCACTAGGGAACAGACCCAGGGGAGGCTGAGGTGACCCTAGTGCTCAACAGTTGCAGGAATAGTTCTTGGTGCATCCTGGTGACCTTCACCAGATTGTCTTAGGGAACAGTTCTCGGGCGACAACCCGTGGTGACCCTAAGTATGGTGTTGGATCCAACCTTGAGATTTTCTGGCATTTTGTATGGTTCCCTGATATCGTACAAGTTCTTATCAATATGAGATGATGATATAATTTGTTATTGTCTCAATATTTTTATTGGCTTTGTTTATGATTATCTATCGTATGTCATATGTATTTTCTTGTTATCAGTTATTGTATTTGGTATTTGGTTCCCATCAATTATTGGATATCGTATAGTCTCCACCATTATGATATGATTCACAATTATGATATGTTTTTTTGTTGGAATTCGATTGTATTATTCTTGAGAAATTGGTTATCTTGATGAAGTTATTTTTCTAAATCTTTGATTTACATGTTGTATGTCAAATATGTTTTTCAGCCACTTTGAATATGCATGTCTTTCCATTCACTGAGCTTTTTAGCTCAAGTTTTCAAAATAATATTTTTCCAGGTAAATGATTGGAGTGTCAATAGCGGACTCAGGGAATTGATTGGAGACTAATAGTATTGTGACCTCTGTAGCATATATCATATAGCCATCTTTACTTGTTTGGATAATTAGAGCAAACAGGTTTAGGTATATTAACTTTGACATATTGACATGAGATCAATTTAGTGTTAATGTTGTTTTCAACTCCTATATTATTAGTTTATTGTTAGACTTACATGTTTCATAGGTTATGGATCTATGGTTCACGGCCGGTCATGCCCTTGAAGTTGAGGTGTGACAATAACAGGGTTGCTCTTTGCCCTCCGGGACAATATGATTTCATCGTCTCGGCCAATAACAGGATCAAGTTTACCACACCTAGTGAGTTCTGTCAAGTCATTTCCGTACTTCTCAAGTGCCTGATATTTACCTTTAGGATCTGTTAAAAATAAGCACAGCATGTATCAATAGGCAACGAACTCTGGGTTGGAGAAAGAGGAGGCAAGGTCCAATGTAGTGAAATATAAAGGAAGAAATGTACAAATACACCATGTAAAAAATCCGCAACTTGTTAAAAAAAACCCTCAGTTTTCCAAATAAAATTCTTTTTCATATTCTAGCTTGAAACGTCATATAAGTTTTTATAGACCGTCTCAATCATTAAGTATAACTTCTAGATCAATTTTCTGTTCATGTAGAGGGGATGCTTTCCACTTCCATTTAATTCGGCTTTACAAATTGGAAAGAACAGAATTACATAGCACAACAGGTCTCTTCATACTTTGATCAGTTACTCTCTGACTTACATGAACAGCTTGAACATCATCTTTTAAAGCCTTTTCATTGAGCTGCAATTTTCTAAATAGCTGCTATCCAAACCTATAATCCGACAGAAGTGCTAACAATAGATGCTCAACAGACAAAAAGGAATCCCCCATTGCTCCGTTAATCTTTCTTGCATTGTCCAGTAGGGAATGAAGATGTGGGCCCAATATAGGGCCACTAGTGTCACCTGTTACCTGCTACAGAAAGAGAATATCATATATCCAAGTTACCAGCATTAGCATCCAAGTAATTTTCATACCTTTGGTTGTTGAGATAAAAAGTCTTCTATAGCTTGCAAAACTGATGTGTTGTCAAGCCTAGCTTTTGTTAATATTCTTCGAGCCAGGCCATCCTTCTACTCCAAAAGAGCTTTCAATAAATGCTCAGGTTCCACCACTTGCTGCTTGTTAGCTCATGCAGCACCCACAGCACCAATAAGTCCTTCCCATGCCATCTCAGTGAATTTCGAATCATTAATCTGGTTGTAGAAGTAGTCCCATGGGGCCCTAGGAGGACCAAAAATAGCATGAGACAAAGATCCAAAAAATATGCCACCTTTGAATCTTGGATAATACAAGGATATATTTGCTTTCTAAAAGAAAAAAAGAAGTGGAAATAGGCATAAGAAATGTTGGGACTAACTGTTCTCCACTTGATTAGGGTGGGTTTTAGTCTTTCCAATTAGAAAAAATATTGAAATTGGCCATGAATCAAATGGTTTCACCACTTTGATTAGGAAGCATTGAGTTGATGGCAATCTTGCTCGAAGACCGTAGTTTTTTGATGAATTGTGTAGAGGATGTTGAAATCCACTACAATTACTGTTGGAACAAAAAATACTGGGCTTCGCAAGCCTTTTGAGAAAAAAATGATGGGCTATGCGCAATTGGAACCTCTAATCAATAATCCAAATTTTGTTTCGTTGTATTACTTTGGTCACCTAGAAATGAAAATGTTTTGAAAACATAGTAGAAACAAATAAAAAATTAGGTATTCATTTCCAAAATGTTCTGAGACATTGGTCAAAATATCTTAAAACACATCAAAACATTTTGAAACGCTTAGAAACATTTCGAAACACCTCGACTCATTCGGAAATGCCTCAAAGTATTGAAATTTCGATTAAATAACTTAATTCATTTCGGTTTCGACTTATTCCGAAATATCTCAAAGTATTAAAATTTCGATTCAATAACTTAATTCATTTATGTCTACTTCGAAATGAAGACATTTCAGCCGTGCCGACTGTTTCAAAACAAAAATTTGATCCTTGCCACTAATGCAGTTGATGGAAGAACAAGAAGAATAAGAAGGAATAGTGCTAGTGTTGTTGAGTCTATCTTACATAATAGACTTCTAACCCTTTAAGCAAACAAATACAATATACATGCTAACTAATGGATCGTCCGCATGAACGTCATCCATGTACTTGGAGGTTGCATTCCATAGAAAGCCATTGTCATCTAGCGGTTAAAACTACTCAAAGAGCCCATACGTGTTAATAATTGGCCTGCATTGTATGGGTGACTAAAAAACTCCATCACAAATTCCAATTCCATAATGGCAAAAGTGCATTTCAAACCACACACATCCAAAATTACAACACAACAGCCTTCCTATACATACTCTATTATGTTGTGCATACATTTCTGTACACATTATATAGCATATAACACTTGTGTACTTGCCTTAGATGACTAGAAAGGGACTTATGACGAGGTAACTTTTATTTCAATACAATTAAAAAATCATATATATCCCCAAAATATTTATCATTACAGTGAATAGAGCAACATAATGAAAAATTTAATCATCTAAATACAAAAAATCACCATTTGGCAAGACATTCCCAACAATCTGAAACTTCCATATTTTTTATTTCTCTGCCCCAGGGGAGGTGTATGGGGAGACTCACATATTTGTGTGTACTTTTGATGGGAATTGTGTAGGA